GGAACATGCCTCCAAAACGAAACACATGGTGTGAGCTCCAAATATCCATGTGGGCCAAGAAGTAAGTCCTTACCTGAGTGGCGAAAGTCACAATGTCCTGATGTGGTGCATGTCGTGTCCAAGTACTGAGCGCCTCTTCAAAGATCAAGGTTTTGATTCTTGAGTTAGGCATCACTGCTATCCGTTGAAGTAGCATTGTTGCATCATGAATGAAAGGCGTTTGGCATTGTTCTTGTAGCGTGTGAAGTAAGAGCCAACCGCACAAATGAGGAGGTAAATGCATCGGGATTGCTTGAATATGAACACGATCAGGAGACGTCTCCAGTAGGGCAGCGACGGCATCAAACAGTGGTGACAAATCACGACTCCTAGGATCTGGTACTGCGGCTGTGAGTAGCCAACGGTCGCCGTGTTGCATACCTGCAACGGAAATCCAATGGTAGTTCATCGTGATGAATAGAAGGACTTTCGTGTATCCCGCTACACTGGGAAGGTCATTGACGAAGGACTCTAATTGACCGGTTAGTGGGTCAAAATGCAGTGGTCCTGGCAAGAAACGGTCGAGAGTTTGCATGCGTATGGTTTGTAGCACTAGCTCAACCTCAAAGTTGGTTAACCAAGCAGGATGTATAAGCAGGTTACGCAACCAGTTAATTTCCCTCTCTCGATGAGTAGGTGGTCGTGGTGCTTGGCTGACTTCTTGGACATATGTGTCTTGGGGACCCACAAACATAACTGTTGACACTGAGTTGGGTAACCGCGTTTCAGGTTGATTTCTGGCATAAGCTGACATGAATGCACGTCGACATTCGGTTGCAAACTGACGAAGATAGGTGGGTGCGTTACTACGGTCCCAATGACGCTGTGCTCGATGGATGACTTGGTCGATCCGGCTTTGATCCTGGTCAGTAGCATGAATTAACGGCTGAATGCAGGTTTGCATAGCGAAATTGGTGTACCATCTGAACAGAATTGTCCACCTATACATGGTAACTACTTCATGATTAGTATCCCGCGTGACCAACATATTATGGGGTGGTATTTGCAAAATGCGAGCCACCTCCAAAATTGCTATTGTCTGGTGTTCGGAAGGCCACTGGATAAGAACTACGTGGACAGGTTCAGTACGGCGGTCAATTTCGATAGCACACCAATGTGCTTCCACCAGAAATAGTAGGATATTTAAGTGACCGTTATTACATTGTAGCTGATCTTCCGCAGCCATCAAACGTTGAAGATCTCTACTTGGACTCCATTGAATGATTGGACCGATGGCAACGTCAGAGCGCCAATCTCTGAGCAAACGAAGGAACCACAGTGCCTCATCAGATGCCAGCCAGCCACTATCTTGTGTAGCGGCAGCACAACGTTCAGCGAACGGTGGATTGGGTTCCATGTGAATTATCTCACATCGGCCCCACGCGGGGTGACCTCCCCCATAAATTGCCTCACTCCAGCCTCGGAAATGGGACGAACAGGTGTGATGGGTCTCAGGTCGAATCCATCGAGGCGGCACAAGGGCACTATCAGAGCTGTAAGAATCGAAAGCAGCCCGTGGTAAAGTATGTACAACATCATTATTCTGATGTCTTGGTACATGCTCTTGGTTGTAAATACCTCTTGGAGGTGTTTCACACTGGTTGGGGCGTTCTCTATCGTATGTTGGGATGAGAATCACAGGACCGGCAATATCAGTTGGAAAGCGATCCTGAAAATAGGATTCTATGAGGAGTGCGTCGTCGCCTCGGCATGAATCGAGGATGTAACTGGGTACAGTCCCACTGGATATGGTTCCCTGTCGTAGACATTGATTATTGGATCCACTATCAGCCACAAACGGAAGCGTACGCCACAAACTCTCATGAAATGGAGTGTCGATCACTGGTACAGTCTCGCTGAAAATGGAGGACTGTTGTAGGTCTTGCAGCATCACAGGCAGGTCATCAGTACACAAAGATGTTGCCACTGTAAACTTGGATGCGGTTGAACATAGCTGTGACTCTTGGGTTGATCGTACTTGATGTGAGTCACTGGGCCCTGAGCAGGCAGTGTAATAGTCAGGATAACAAAAAGGCTTTGTTGCATCATCATGACTCACTAACAAGGAAGTGCGACATGTATGTGCCCCATGCAGCCCAGGTGATAGTAGCGTCTTGGAAGGTAAGCTGCATGCCCAGACTGGTGAATCATTTGAATGTATCCTTCGAAGACATCGTGGAACCGATCTGCGCTGAGCCAAATTGAAAAGAAGTTGTAAACACCTGTCATCGGGTACAGCCCCGGTAGAGGAGGTATCATGTAGCGATTTCTGATGCAGCCGGTAGTGGTTCTTGTCCAAGAGGATAAATGTATCTTGCAACACACCATCCGGAAACCAAACTGTACGAATTGCATCGCGAGAAAATATGGATCGGTCATGATGCTTGAGTAACACTTCGTGTAGGCTTGGAGATGGTAGAGGATCATCTGCACCCATCTCCACTTCAGTGGAGATATCACTGTTCTGACATTGCAGGGTGAAAGATGCGCTTCCCATTGCACTGAAAAGCAGCCCGGACAAAGGATCACGATGGTTGAGAGAACTATGGACCAAACTCTGTCGTAAGTCTTCATCACCACAGTTCGTAATCAGCCCGACAGGATACTTGCCTGTAATCTGATCAACTCTACATTGTTGGCTTCCATCGCTGTTGGTAACGGGTACAGCCCCTCGAGATATGGTAAAATGTCGTGGATCTAGATCTGGAATTGTCGGATCGGGTACAGCCCCTGTGAAGGAAGTAAGTCGGAGTAGTGCCTGAGAAAGATCACATTGACTGCATGCACTCAAATCCCTCAAAGAGACACCATGTAAAGATGGTGAATCCTCCTGATGTTGAAACAATGCCTCACAACCGGAGCTAGTGGAGTCTGCACTAGCATGAAAATCTTGAGGTCCAATGGAACTCGAAGCGATTAGACGGATGGAGGAATCGCTTGCTTGGCATTGAATCACTGCTGGATCAATATTTGTATCACACTGAAGATGTACATCTCGGTGAGAAACATAGGAAGTTGGTAATATTGATTCTCCCTGGCCAAAAATGTTCAAATATGGAGACCTGTGTATGGTCAACCTGTAAGGCAAATGTCTGGACCCAACAAGCATTGACACAACATTGTCAAAAAACTTGAGGTTGAAACCGGGTACAGCCCCGCGATAGGTTGTCAAATGCTGTAGTTCTTGAATCACGGCGGTTGGGTCGGGTACAGCCCCTGAAAAGATAGTTGTCTGCGGTGGTCGTTGAGACTGGTGTGCAAAATAACCTCCTGAGTTCTGTTGATGACATGTGCTTCCGTCTGCCTGAGACAATGAAGAATGCTCGAAAGGCGAAATTGGAATCATCTCTGCAGGACTCTGAGAGTTGTTGCACTGTGCAATGTCGGATGGCATGTGGTATGAAGGCGCTGGAGAATATAAAGCGAAACCGAAAACACTGCGTTGGTCAATGTCAGTGCTGGTTGTGGAGCGGTGACAACAAATGTCTGGAATTCCAATGGAACTCTGTTTTTCTGTGTTCGCTTGCACCAACGGGAGCCAACCAACGGACGTAGTGACAAATCTGCTGATCATCTGTGACAAAGAAGTCATTGTTTGTTGAAATGGGGAATTGTGAAGCCTCTGACGTGGACTTGGTAATGCTTGAATAGTTGCACGATGATGAGTTGGATGTAGTATATCACGAAACATAGGACACTCTGTTTCGTAATGACAGGTACCCTTGTACCAAATCACTTCCGGCTTCCTACTTGTCTGCGTGACTGAAGTAGTCGTCCACTGAAACGGCCACATTCCCTGTATCTGTCGCGGACTACCTTGCAGATGAGACTTACAAACTGCTGAAGTCCGAGACCCATACCACCATTGTCGAAAATTTGGTAAGCTGATCAAGGAGAAACATCCGAGAGGAGGAATTGGAACATCTCGTGCGAAACTGAACATAGCATCAAAACCTTCCGGTTGAGCAGGTTCAGGCAACTGGGTCGCACAACTCTGGGATGAAATCGTGTGACCGCAATAGTATCTTGCGGCCCACGGCTCAATGTAATATTCTGTAGGTCGATCTTGTGGAGTGTGGCCTTCTGCATGGAGATTTGCGGTATAGAAGTGAGCCGCCCAAGGCTCCATGTCTTGGAGGCTGTTGATGTTGAGGTCGCTCGGCTGAGGTTGCACAGAATGAACTCCATTTGCTGTATACATGTGCCCACCTGCGTCCAACTCTTGCTGGTAGATGCCACTGGACAGTGACTGGATGACTTGGTGATCCATCGGATTGGAGTAATCGTGAAGCTGTTCAACCTGTTCAGGCGAAATTGGCTTGGCCGTCGGAGCAAAATATGCCAGACTCCATGGCTCGTATCCTGGTTCATCAAGTTGGTTCAAACCAAAGCCGGACAAGCGATCGAACTTCTCATACTCCATAGCCCAGGGCTCAAACACATCTGGTAAGGGCACATAGTCTGGGTCGGAGACTCCAGGTGGAACATCCGGAGAATCCTTCATAAGAAAATCATCGTGGCCAACCTTGTCGTCAGACAACATCTTCACTCCCGCCTGCCAACATCCATGGTCACACCAAATGTATAACACACAAGGTGATCGTGTCGTAAGATGTGGCAGTACCCTATTGGACACTTTCAGGATCTCTGTCGTGCCATTCGAGGTGAGGACCTCGAGCTGGCAAAAATCACGAGATCGCAAAAGGACCTTGTTGATGGTGTACTCTTGTATCAAAGCCGCCTTCCAGGTCGAGGAAATGCTGAAAGTATGGCGGACGTATCGTAGAGATCCCTCCCGCAAAGGGTCCATGGCCCAATCCGAATCCCGCCGCGAAAGGCGAGATTGCAGGCGCGCCCCGTGCAGGCTTGAGCCCAACGCCTCTGGCCTTACTACTAGGAACAAGAAGCTAGTAGAAACAATAAGAAGCGAATTTAATTAGAATTGAGTTTCCACACCCAGCCTGAAACATCAGTCTTCTCAACAGAAGCACCCGCTTCCAGCAACAAACTTACAGCCTCCGGGGAATCGACGAGTGAAGCTTCCTGCAAAGCTGTCCTGTCGGGTGCGGAGTCGAATCGAAAAGAAAAAATAATTTGCCATGTCCAATGGAACAAGTGCATCGCTTCTAGTAACAAGTGCCTTACTAGTAGTAACAAGAAGCTACTAGGGGCTCCTGGCCTTACTACTAGGAGCAAGGACGCTACTAGGAGCAAAGGGCATCGGTACTAGAAGCGATCGGACGCTACTAGGCGCTCCTGGCCTTATTCGCTTGGGATCCGCCTCAATTGATACCAACGCAGCTCCGCCGTCCTGCCAGCCTCATCCACAACGTCCGGATCGATCGGCTCAGCCAAAAAGGCTTCGAAAGATGCCGACTCCTGAGCTGCAGAGGCTTTTTGTTAGTAGTAACAAGTGCCACGCTAGTAGTAACAGGTGCCTTACTAGTAGTAACAAAAAGCTATTAGAATTGAAGTTAAATTAATAGCTTCTTGTTACTACTAGTGCACTTGTTACTACTAGCGTGGCACTTGTTACTAGAAGCGATGCACTTGTTTCTAATAGTTTCTTGTTACTACTAGTAAGGCACTTGTTACTACTAGCGAGGCACTTGTTACTAGTAGCTTATTGTTTCGACATTGCAAAGGCCAGGAGACATGACTTCCTTCCGCAGAATCACACCTGTCCACCAACTAATAAATAGCAATGGCCTCCAGTCTAATCGAGATGGCCTCCGACCTTAGAGCGATGGCCTCTAACCTAGAAGCGATGGCCTCCAACTTAATAGGAATGGCCTCCAACCTAAAAGCAGATACTCAATAGGTTGTGAGTTTCATCCCAGGGATTAAAAGCCGTCCTTCAATTTGTGCGCGAGTCAGCAATGTTTTCCCCCTCGTGAGAATCATAAGCCGCCTTTGCAAGGATCATGCACCCAATTGCACGGATTATGCGTTTGTACAATGATGTGTTAGTTTGTGAAACGTTGCGCTGACTGCTTCGCTTCTTCTAAGTCAGTCAACTCATCTCTGGCAAATCGAGCCAAGCATCCTGGCAGGCAGCCGCTAAGAACTCTTTGCATCGCTTAGCATCAGGCACCAGCAGTGGAATTAGAAGAAGTTGAAGATCTAATGGGAACCTGCTGAGTAAGGGCACTTGATAGCTGATAGCTTCTCTTCGACTCTTTTCGATGAGTCCAGAAGAAATATCGAGAATGTGGTGTTTGTGTCTTTCAAGGTGTTTTTCTTTGTGGACAGTGGATGACAGTGGTCAGCCTTTCCATGCATTCTTGACAACCTGATGAACCTATTTTTCAAACACTGAACACGTGACTGGTGTTCACTCTTTGATGAGATCTTCACAATGCACACCCATAGTGGAGCTGACTGCAGTCAAAATCTGCAAGCATACTCTGTCTGAAACAATATTTGGCACTAGATTGACTGTACGCCGCATGGAGATAGCTACCAGAGGCCACCACTACGGTATGCCACAAGCGCAGTCCAGGTGAATCCAGAGGACTTCACAGACTCCCCACCGGACCCCACCGGTCGACCAATTTGGGCAACTTACTTCGAAGTTCTTAAGGCTTTGAGTTGCCTTAACAGCCTCAACATAACGCCCCAAGCGGTTGATTTTCCAGCTCTCCTTTCCTAGTGAACCAATGCAAGAGCAACTCTTGCTACCTCTTCTTGTCTGTTTCTATTCTTCTCCTTCTTCTTTTCTTCTTGCTCTTTGTGGCCTCAGAACTTCGAGACCAGAGATCTCCCAGCCGAGTGGCTGAAGATCTTTGAGAGCCAAGTCCTCCTGGAGCACACGGCCCTGGCAAATCAAACGCTGCCGGAAGATGGAGATTCCCAGCTCAGCCGCACAATGCCTCAGGACGGAGAAATCAAAAACAATGTCTCATGATTCTCCTGTCTCAAGAACTGAACACTCTCAGGCTTCGAATCACAAGTGCCGAGAATTGGCAATGAGACCTCTTAAATTGGGCAAACAATGAGAGCGCCAAAAGGACAGCGCCAGGCACAGGCACCGGGCGCCAGCACCAGGCACTGCGTGCAGCTCAGGCACCGCTTCAACGCCTTGATCGACAAGGTGCCCGGAGTCTCTGTCAGCTCCACGATGTCTTGAGCATCCAACTGCACCTGAAAGAGGCTGAACTCAAGATATTGAAAAAATAGCAATAACTAAAATATCTTTTTAGATACAAAATATTAACATAGTTACATAGTTAAACATATTACTGCATTGTTTATGTTTAAACTCGATATATCATTTTTCTTTTGTTTTTTGCTCTTGAGCATGCACCTGAAATAGGCGCTGAAGGAAAGGTGACCAACTACAACGGGGGACTTACGCACTCTGGATTGGACCTTCACAACTTGATGCGCCCATGTCCAAATATATTTGGCATCAACAATACACCAAGTGTTTTGAAATAGTTTGAGATAACATGTGACATCTGGTCATCCACTAGAATGGCGATGTGGCAACCAAGACTCATGCAGCGACATAGGTGCACGCAGCGATATGCAACGTGCAGCGACCGGTGTAACAAAGAACTGTGACTCGACTCCAGCCTCTTTTCCAGAGATTTGACAGACCCGCAACAGCGCCATTGCAAAGGCCAGCTGCGATGCTCTTATTAGATCATCATTGAAGATCACTTGGGTGCATCTCTGGGTGAGGACACTTAAAGCCAGAGATGTGCGAAGCCCCTCCAGAAGCAACGGCCAAATCAATTGTGAAACGGACACAACTGGTGGTACTTTAAGCAATACCTAAAATAGGGATCATCATCGTTTTCCATCATCGCTTTTCATAGGTCATAAAATACCTATACACACAATTTTCGCTCAACGTGTATCGAAGCATCGTTCTGACATTATTTCCGGCATATCTTCCGATTTTTTTCTGGCATCTCTTCTGACATGTTTTCTCGCATATCTTCTGACACGTTTCCTGATATTCTTTCTGGCATCTTTTCTGACATTCATTCTGGCATATCTTTTGGCATTCTTTCTGACATTCTATCTGGCATATCTTCTGACACTGTTTCTGGCATAACTGTTGACAGTCTTTCTGACATCTGACATTCTTTCTGGCGTTCTGTCTGGCATATCTTCTAGAACCAATGAGTAACATAATTCAAATCACATGTTCATATTTATGACTTATATAAATAATGTCCGACCACCAAAACATGTATGTAACAATATAACATGTGAAGCTTTCTGATGATGAAAAACTAACAATGTTTAACAGTTTGATTTTCGGAATAACACATTTCTAGGAATAGACTTTATTTCTACAAACCAATGAATTAGGTCACACATTGCTTTATTGTTGATTATTCACGCCGCTGAGCGGCAAGGTCCGCCCGCACCGCCATGAAACAGTTGCCCAACAAAAACGGCGAAGACTGTCACCCAAACAGCCTCAAAAGCACAGAATCTGGCCCCCCGGCCTCCCGACTTCATCACCATATATCACAAGGGCTCATCATGTTGCCATTTAGTAAGCGTGGATCCAAACAGATTGTTGCGTTCAGCTCCCGCTCCCAACAGGTCTTGCTCCTTTCACGGCCTGTCGCGGCCATCGGCCATGGTGAACTGGAGCTATATATATATATATAGTGGAGCTTCGCATCTGCCGAAACACCATTTTTGACAGTGTTTTCATACAACGGAACTAGAAATAGTGAGGTTTTTGACGTTGACGTTGCCGACAACACCACTATGTACCGAATTTTACAGTGTTTTTATGCTCCATGAGGCAGAAACCACCGCTACTTACAATGTTTTCGAGCCTGCTGTCAAAAAACACCACAATTTCTGACGTGTCCAACAACATGGTCGCCAGAAACACTGCTATTTGCGAGGTTTTTCATGTTCGTGCAAAGATGTCAAGCCTCAACCGAAAATCGAAGACCAAAAGTCAAAAAATCACATTGTCTTTTCACTTTTCTCTTGCCCATCAAAAACCCATGGTTTTGGCTAAAAGATGCTCCCCCCCAGGTAAACCTGTACCTTACAGTTGTTTATGCCATCCGGATGATCACGCCCTGAGCACCTTCGGTGCGGGCGGGTTTTATGATGCGAAAGTGAATGTGGTGAGATGATGTGTAGGCATTTTGTGATGTTGTTCCGAAATGTGCTGATGATAAAAATGATTTTATATAGATAGATATTGCGATATAAATCCTACAATGCACACTTAAGACATGTTTCCCCTAGGGGTTTTGTCTTCTATTTCTTGATTTTGTCGATCACTCAACGAATCGACCCTCCTACAGGATCCCCTGAACAAATACATCAAACACAATACTATTGATGCTTTAGTTCAGGCGCAATTGTTACTAGTAGCGATGCACTTGTGACTAGTGAAGCCCTTGCCCTTTTTCAATTCAATGGTGTCAACCCAAGTTCTCGAGCCACACAGTCGCAGTTCTACGAGGGGACGATACACGAATGAAGTTGAAGCAAAGTGATCGGGATGGGGTCAAACTTGTGTCTTCCCACTAGACGACCATCCTTGCACTCTGTATCCCCTCGTTGGCACCCAAAAAGGAAGAAATGGTCCAAAGGGTACGGTAGAAATGGTCCTCTACTACAGATGTCTAGGATGTCTGCCCACTTACCTGTCCTCATGTGCCGCCCGTCTGGGTCCACGGACGGAGAGAGGACAGGTCTACGTAGACCGCCGCCGGGCAACTGGCACGGTTTGATGGGGACCTGAAGGACTCAATGCGACAAGGACGCTACTAGGAGCAAACGGCATCGCTACTAGGAGCAAGGACGCTACTAGGGGCTCCTGGCCTTACTACTAGGAACAAGGGCCTTACTACTAGTAACAAGGACGCTACTAGGGGGAGGCTACTCAAGTAGCGTCCTCTTTGCTCAGAACCACAAACAAAATACAGGATGATGGTATGAGTATGTGCAGTATATGTGCATTAGTATGTGCCCCCCCTGCGGCATTGTGTTCCAAAGCGGACGACATGCAGGCTTTCAGAACTGTCAAAAGGCCTCAGAACTGTCGAAGATGCGACATAGTAACAAGTGCATCGCTACTAGCAGCTAGAAGCTACTAGTAACAAGGGCCTCGGAACTAGTAACAAGAAGCTACTAGGGCTCCTGGCCTTACTAGGAGCAAGAAGCTACTAGTAGCCGGGGCATCGCTACTAGTGCCTGGTGTCACCATTGCTCCCCGCCTGGTGTCCACGCGACGCGACTGTTGCACGGGCTTCGGTGGCCTCAGTCGCTCCGTCGCCATCCGCCCCAAAGTGCGCTGCATCAAGGCATGACGAAATGCGACAAGGACGCTACTAGGAGCAAGGACGCTACTAGGGGCTCCTGGCCTTACTACTAGGAGCAAAGGACGCTACTAGTAACAAGGCTGCTACTAGGTGGAGGCCATCGCAAGTAGGGTGGAGGCCATCGCTACTAGTAACAATAGAGAGGTTTTTAAAGCCCGCTCCCAGCTACATACTAGTAGTAATGCCTTTGTTACCATAGTAGCGATGCACTTGCTACTAATTGCGATGCACTTGTTACTGGCTGGGGACGAAGTGTACGGACAAGTTTTTGATTTCAGAACCCGACGGCTCTGCCTGGGTGCGAATTTCTATGACCAGGTGCCATGACCAGGTGCCCGGACACTTGAGGTGCCTGAGCAGCCTTTTGCACCGATGCGGCGGCACCCTGCAGCAAGGTAGGCCTCAGGGGCAAAGGCATAACAAGGGCATCGCTAGTAGTAGCTTCTTGCTACTAGTAGCAATGCCAGGAGCACCTGGTAGCGTCCATGCTCCTAGTAGCGATGCCCTTTGCTCCTAGTAGCATCCTTGCCCCTAGTAGTAAGGCCAGGAGCCCCTAGTAGCGTCCTTGCTCCTAGACACAAAGAAAGAGAAAATGAAACGGTGCAGAACGACATCCTGTCGTTCGGTGCACATTGTAAAGCAGAGGGGGGTTCACATGGCGATTTCTCCGAAAGACATGAACAAGCCAACCTCTACGCTCTGTAAACAATCGTTGGGCCTTCCACTAGCGAAATTCTGGCAAGTTGATGAGCTTCGACCATGGCAGGTCATAGCACTTAGACTCATGGGGTCTCCCAATTTTATTCTTTGCTTTTTCTGGCAATGTAATACCAGGCACATTGCGGGCTCCTGGCCTTACTACTAGTAGCAAGAAGCTACTAGGGGCTCCTGGCCTCGCTACTAGGAACAAGGACGCTACTAGGAGCAAAGGGCATCGCTGCTAGGAGCAAGAACGCTACGAAAGTTGCTCCTGGAGAATGTCATCGCAACTGGTATTGAACCTTGCGGATCTGTCTCTGCAGCTTTCAGTCGAAATCACCCGATGCTGGGCCCACGTGCCCGGTGGTTGTTGGAATCGAGATGTTTGCTTGCGACGACACCTCAGATCCAGCTAGGAGCTTCGTAGTTTGGCCCACAGGACTCCCCAATCCCAATGCAAAAAAACAAAAGAAACTATAAGCAATGGCCTCCAACCAAATAGATAGCAAGACTAGCAAGACCTTAATGCTTGCTCTTAACTGGCCCGTGCGGCACTTACAAGAATGTTTTCTTGCGCATTCTTTGCAAGAACTCTTCTATTGAAGGCCTTTTTATCAGCTACACTCAGCTCCCAGACCGGCCATGGCATACCTTGAGTGGTCGGATAGGTGACGAAGGGCATGGAATGCTGCCTTGGCTGTCATTGGCTGTTGCTCGAAGATATTCTCCAGGAGATGATCAAACGCATATGTCTACACAAGAGGAGTGGTTCGTTCGCATCCGGATGCATTGGGGATATATGACCAAGAAAGTGTCAATGGATCTCATGACCTCCATCTTTTTCAGACCATATGGCCCTGCCTCCTTACTTAAGTATGTAGACGCCTACTTAATTAAGTAAGTAGCTACTTAAGCTACTAGTAACTGGACGCAGGATAGCTCACGCTTCTTCAAGGAGCGCTCGCACTGGTGATTTGGTTCCTAGATGTTTAGGGAAACTTAGGGTTCAAACGTTGCATGTTTCTACACAGGGAAGCTGAATGTGTTCAAAGTCTTGCGCCCAGCGGCACTCCCATTTGCATCTTATTGTGGTTCACTTGTGCATTTGGCCTGGCCGGGGCGAGTCAGGTCGCTGTGTTTGGACATCTCGGTTGGGTGGATCAACCTGGGATTTCAAGCTGGTCTTATCCACCTATCTAAAAATTCTACTGACAGTGACACTCTAAAGACCACAGATTCATGAGCTCTGTTGCAAAGTAGCGTTCGCCGCTCCCAAATCGGACACTCAGAGTCAGACGTGTTCTTTGGAGCCTGTGTGGGCGATTCCTGAGGTAAGAGAGCTCTGGTATGTTTTTTTGTCCATCCTTTGAACTTTTGCTTATCTCCATCCACACACAGTAGGGCTCCTGGCCATACTACTAGGAACAAGGACGCTAGTAGGAACTTAGACGCCTTAGACGCCACAAATTCCAAGCAAACATTCCTCAACTCACCGAATTCTTAGCAAGGACATCGCTACTAGGGG